CTCGTATAAATAAATTTTTTGAATTGCGTTACATGGATATCACGTTGTATGTACCCTATTGTTTATCTATATAAAGCTATTCGTATAACACCTCCTATGAGGATCTACGTAAATTATGTATTATGCATATATTAGTGTAATATCTGCACATGGATCTACTTAAGTTGATATTCATGTAATATCTAATACATGTTATATTTATTAATATCTCACTTAGTACTTTCGATTTTGTTGAATCTTTGATTCTCTTTCAAATAGATTTAGTTTGCATATTAAATTTAATTTATCTATATAAAATTTTTTTTTAAATTGCTTAGAATTTTGTAAAATAAAAAAAAAAATGACTGAAACATCAGAAGAATGCTGTAAAAGACTTAACCGCGAACGTTAGTAATGATATCATAAGAAATTACAACAAACAAGTGGTACAAATAGTACAGAAATAGCTCGTAATACACCTACAAGAGAAGAAGAATTCAGAGCAACAAGAGAAGCAGCAAGACAAAAAAATGAAGTTGAAGTTTCATATCAACAAATATCATGAAAAGGGAAGAAAAGAGAGACTCCTGTAGATTATGATAGATGTAATCAGGCAAATGAATAGGTAAGTATGCGTTATGATGTTGTTAATGTTCTAACCTCTTCTTCAAGTTCCTGTAACAGCACTTTTGAAGAAGTTGCTTCTCGAAATGAATTGCCTGCTCTCAATTCTTCTGTTCTTGCTTTTCTCATTTATTAAAAGCATGCTCATATCCATAGTCATCAAATGGAATAAATCATCATACTCTAGAAGGAATGGATCAAAAATGCCAACATTGTGGTGCTCTAATGTGGATTGATGAAAGGAAAGCACATACATCTTTACGATCCCGATTTTTACCACTTGTTGTGCTGAAGGAAAGGTTCTTTTACCTCCTCTTTAACAACTACCATGACTTTTACATATGCTTCTTACTGGATCAGATTTATCAGCACGTTCGTTTAAACAAAAAATAAGAATGTATAATTCAGTGTTAGCTTTTACTTCGATGGGGGCTCAAATTAATGATAGTATAATAGAAACAGGTAGTATTTACAGCTTTCGCATCCATAGTGAAATGTATTACAATATAGGCCCTATACATCCCGGTCAGGCTCGCCTTAAATTTGCACAATTCTATGTTTATGACATAGAACATGAATTGCAAAATCAAATGAATAAAATGCCTGGTCTTGATCCTTTAATTCTTGCTAACCTTCAGCAGATGTTACATGAGTTAAACCCTTATTGTCAAATTTTTAGAAATGCAAGCAATATACTAACTTCTAATCCATCATTAAATTTGAAAATGATAATTACAGACAACAGAAGAAGTGACCCTAGACGATATAATGTTCCGATGGCATCAGAATTCGCTATGATTATGGTTGAAGACGGACAAGAAATCGAAACTTCAAATCGTGATATTGTATTACATCTGCATATCGGGGTTTACAAAGAATATCTGAGCTGCATCGTGCTTATCAACCATTACATTACATTCTTATGTTTCCTAGAGATGATGATGGTTGGCATCTGTATATCTTTATCAACAGTTCCACGTCTCCTCAAGGATCTATTAATAATGATGAATCGATCTCTGATCATGAAGAAGAAGTAACTACTATGAAAGATGTCACAGCTATGAATTATTTCGCATACCGACTTCACCTTAAATGTCTAGGTGAAGCTGTAGTTCATCACTTATTTGGCCGCTTATTTCAACAATGGATAGTTGACATGTATGCAATTGTAGAACAAATGCGCTTAACTATCTACGTTTTAATCAAAAAAATATACGCGCAAAATTGTATAGCAGATTACAAGATGCAGTGACCGCTTCAGATAATGTATCACAAACTGCAAATATAGGGCAACGTATAATTTTGCCATCAACCTTTACAGGCAGGCCCCGTCACATGGTGCAACTTTATCAAGATGCAATAGCTATTGTGAGAAAGCTTGGCAAGCCTGATTTATTTATTACAATGACTTGCAATCCACAATGGTCTGAAATTACTAACGCTCTTCTTCCAAGTCAAACTGCACAGGATCACTCTGATTTAATTTCGCGTGTTTTTAATATGAAATTAAAAGCACTATTTAAAGATATTATCAAAGAATCTGTTTTCGGAAAAGTTCTAGCCTATCTTTATACGATCGAATTTTAGAAGCGGGTCTATCTCATGCCCATATACTTATTATTCTTGCATATGAGCATAAACTCAAAACAATTGAGGACTACGATTCAATTGTTTCAGCTGTGATTCTTGACAAAGATAATGATTCTATTCTGTATAACTCAATCAAATAATCGATGATACATGGTCCCTGTGGTACATTTATACCAACTTCTCTGTGTATAAAAAATGAAAAATGCTCTAAAGGATACCCGAAACGATTTTAAGAAACTACTACTATGAATAATGATGGCTATCCTATCTACAGATGAAGAAATAATGGTGTAACTATAGAAGTGCGTAGCTCAACTTTGGATAACAGGTGGGTCGTTCCGTATAATCCTTATCTTTCCACTAAATACAATTGTTATATAAATGTAGAAATTTGTTCTTCCATTACTGCAGTGAAATATCTTTTTAAGTATATTTATAAAGGTCATGATCATGCTACAATAGAAATAAGAGGCCAAAACCAAAAATACGAATGGAGACCTAATAAAGATGAAATAAGTATTTACCTAAACGCTCGATATGTATCTGCATTTGAAGCTTCATGGCGCTTATTTCACTACCGGCTACATAATAGAAGTCTATCTGTTTTACCTCTTCAAGTTCATCTTCCCAGACAATATAGAGTACTATTTAGAGATGACTCTACTTGAGAATATCTTGCTGAAACTGCTTCTAATGAAACATCAACCCTTACAGCATGGTTTAAAGCCAACTCTGATTATCCGGATACACGAAATCTTACATATGAAAATTTTCCATCATAGTGGGTTTTTGATAAACACGCAAATTATGGAAACCAAAAAAATGTGGTAGTGTAATTAGGAAAATGTATTTCGTTCATCTAACAGCAGGTGAACGTTATTATCTGCGCCTTCTACTCAATATAATTCCTGGCACCACCTCTTTTAATAATATTCGCATTGTAAATAGAATTTTGTATCCAACTTTCAAACAAGCTTGTGCTGCTTTAGGGTTACTTCAAAACGATGATGAATGGGATTGCTATTTAGCTGAAGCTTCTCAAATTAGATCTGGAGCGCAACTATAAAATTTGTTCGCTACTCTTCTTTTGTTTTGTGATCCATTACACCCTAAACAACTTTGGGAGAAGTATATTTATTTTCTTAGTGAAGATATTTGTTTTTATACTAACAATAATAGTGAACATCCACTTACTGAAGCTGAGATACACAATCTAGCCTTACTCCACTTACAATCAATTTTACACAGGTATGGCAAATCACTTGCAGACTTTCCTAATATGCCTATACCAATTACACTCGATGATACTAACTCACTAATTAGTGAAGAACAAAATTATGATATTGATGAGTTAACACGTATACTTGAACATAGCATAACTTAATTAAATAAAGACCAACTTACTATTTTCAATAAAGTCATCAACACTGTAGAAAGCAAAAATCCTTCCGTATTCTTCATTAATGGTCCTGGTGGAACAGGAAAAACATTTCTTTATAAGTAAGAAATTAAAAATTTTTTTTTCCTATTTTTTTTTTCTTTATTTTAATATATATATTATATATATAGTATTTTACTTGCCAAGATTCGTCTAAGTCATTATATTGCTCTCGCAGTAGTATCTTCTGGAATTGCTTCACTCCTTTTGCCAGGTGGCCATACTGCACACTCTAGATTCAAGATCTCCATTAATTTAACGGAAACTTCTACCTGCTCTATCTCTCATGGTACCGAATTAGCTTTGCTTTTACAGAAAACTCATTTAATCATATGGGATGAAGCACCTATAGCCAATAGATATGCACCTGAAGCACTTGATAGAACTTTGAAAGATCTTATGAAAGCTACCAATCCATCTTTAAACAAAATTCCGTTTGGAGGTAATGTTGTAGTATTTGGCAGTAATTTTCACCAAATTCTTCCTGTCGTTCCAATAGGTGGTAGAGAAGATATTGTAGGCTCATGTTTACGATGCTCCTATTTATGGAACTATGTTGAAATTTTATCTTTAAATATAAATATGCGTCTTCATCATTGTACTAATTCTATTGATACTATTGAACAAGAAAACTTTACAAAATGGCTCATTGCATTTGGAGAAGGTCGAATACCTACCATTGGACCAGAACACGATAAAATTCAACTTTCAGAAGATCTTATTTTACCTTCTCAACAGTTAAACGATCTTATACAATTTGTCTTTCCTGAATTTTCTTCGTATTCTGATTCTCAATATTTAGTTGAATGTGCAATACTTACACCTAAGAATGAATATATTAATACTATTAATTCAACTATTATATTTCAATTCTCTGGAAATTTTACTAACTATCTTAGTGCTGATACAATTGAAAATCATACTGAATATGAGCATCTATATCCTATAGAATATATTAACTCCTTACATATTAACGGTCTTCCTCCTCATAAGTTAACTTTAAAACCAGAAGCTTCCATTATTTTATTAGAAATATTAGTCCTTTTGACGGTCTTTGTAATGAAACAAGATTAGTATGCTATTCTTTTCATAGACACGTTATTGAAGCTGAAATTCTTACTAGAAAACATTTCGGAAATCACATTTTCCTTCCTCGCATTACCTTTTCTCCTTCAACAACTGATTTACCTTTCGCCTTCAAATGTCACCAATTTCCTATTCAACCTGCTTTCGCCCTAACAATCAACAAGTCTCAAGGCCAAACTTTAAATTACGTTGGCTTATACCTACCAAC